AAGTAAAGAAGAGAAGTGCCAATGGCAATGGCACATTACTGCATCAGGAATAAACCCATGGCAGACCCAGCGTCTTCTGGAACTTGGAATTAGAACTCAGGGAAAAGAGGTGTTCCTCACAGAGGGCGTTGTGAGATAGCATATTGAAATAGTCAGTATTTTCATTTCCCCTATATTTCTAAGTGCAGTGGCTTAAACAAGGTGTTTCTGGTGAAAGAATATCGTATCTCTAATAGTCATTTGATAAGACCTGGTAAAATGTTATCAGCATACTTTCCAGATACTGAGAAATTGAATTAATCTAATCCTGGGTTACAAAACTCTTTGCAAGTCAGGTATTTTCCAATTCATTGCTTTAAAAGAAATTGAAATGGGAACTAATTGAGTTGTCAGCTGTGAGGTCATTAAAATAATTCTTGAAGCTGTATTAACTATGTAATTTTTGGCATGTATCTTGGAAGACGTTCAAAGAATTGAATGGCATTGCTATAAAAAACTTTGTTTCCATCTTGTTGCTTATGTGAGCCAGATTTCTAAAAGCAAAAACAGCAATAGAGTTAACCTGAGTTATATCTTATTCTAGCAATAAGGGATATTTATCCATTTATTAAACAAAAAACCACATCCATGTAATTAGAAGCTATATTTTCAGGATAAGTTTACTTTTTAATGTTTAATTATTACTTAAAATATACATTTATACTATTTTATCAATTTTACATTTGTGATGATAATCCATTTTAAAAGCAAATATTATAATTTCATGGTCATAGGACATAAAATTAAATTTCAATCTCTCTCTAGTTTTGCTGCAAGTAAACATGATAGGTGATCAATAGAAGATTTTCAAGTGTAGAATATATTCCACAAAGGCATAGAGTAGAAATACAAGTTCTAAAAAGGAACAATGCACATATTATGGCTTTATGAACGAGCTCATTCATGAATTTTGAAAGTGGATAATCATGAGTGTTATTCATTGTTGTGTCTAAATTTCATTCAGTATGTGTGTGTTTGAATTATCTAAGTTTTTAATGTTTTTAAATGTGAATATTCAGATTAGACAACAATGCGTAAAAGTTTTTAAAATAATTTTATACATTGCTTTCCTTTATTCGAAAGTCATGGAGAAAGATACAAACAAACAGAGACAAAGACAGAGAAAGATCTCCCATCTACTGGTTCACTGTTCAAATGTCTACAACACCCAGGGCTGGGCTGAACCAAAGGCAAGACAGGGAATGAAATCCAGGTTTCCCATGTGGGTGGTAAGAGCCACACCTGCTGCCTCCCAAGGTGTGCATTAGCAGGGATGGAGAGCAAAGTTAGAACATAAAGTCAGGCATTCTGCTGTGGGATGTGGGCATCCAAAGTGGTAGCTCAGAATGGGGCCAATGGGCTGGGCATTGCGATGCAGCAAGTAAAGCCACTGCCTGTGGCACCAGCATCCCATAAGGGTGCCGGTTCAAGTCCTGGCCACTCACAGCTTCTGATCCATCTCCCTGCTAATTCACCTGGGAAAGTGGCAAATGATGGCCCAAGTGCTTAGGCCTGTGTGGCCACATGGAATACCAGGAGGAAATTCCTGGCTCCTGGCTTTGGACCCACCCAGCTCTGGCCATTGCAACCATCTGGGGAGTGAACCAGCAAATGGAGGATCTCTCTGTTTCTCCTTCTTTCTCTCTTTAATTTTGCTTTCAAATAAATAGATTTTTTTAAAAAATTATTTTATTTATTTATAAGTCAAAATTACAGAGAGAGAGGGAGACAGAGAGATCTTCCATTTGCTGCTTCACTACTCAAATGGCCGCAAAGGCAGGGGCTGGGCCAGGTAGAAACCAGGAGCCAGCCAGGAGCTTCTTCCAGTTCTCCTATGTGGGTACAGGGGCCCAAGCCCTTGGGCCATCCTCTGCTGCTTTCTCAGAGACATTGCAGGGAGCTGGATCTGAAGTAGAGCAGTCGGGACTCGAACTGACACTGTATGAGATGCCGTCACTGCAGGTGGCAGCTTAACCCACTGTGCCTGAATTCTGGCACAAGAAAGGAAGGAAGGAAGGAAGGAAGGAAGGAAGGAAGGAAGGAAGGAAGGAGGGAGGGAGGGAGGGAAGGAAGGAAGGAAGGGAGAGAGAGAGAGGAAGGAAGGAAGGAAGGAAGGAAGGAAGGAAGGAAGGAAGGAAGGAAGGAAGGAAGGAAGGAAGGAAAGAAGGAAGGGAAGGGAAGGAAGGGAAGGGAAGGGAAGGAAGGGAAGGGAAGGGAAGGGAAGGGAAGGGAAGGGAAGGGAAGGGAAGGGAAGGGAAGGGAAGGGAAGGGAAGGGAAGGGAAGGGAAGGGAAGGGAAGGGAAGGGAAGGGAAGGGAAGGGAAGGGAAGGGAAGGGAAGGGAAGGAAGGGAAGGGAAGGGAAGGGAAGGGAAGGGAAGGGAAGGGAAGGGAAGGGAAGGGAAGGGAAGGGAAGGGAAGGGAAGGGAAGGGAAGGGAAGGGAAGGGAAGGGAAGGGAAGGGAAGGGAAGGGAAGGGAAGGAAGGGAAGGGAAGGGAAGGGAAGGGAAGGGAAGGGAAGGGAAGGGAAGGGAAGGGAAGGGAAGGGAAGGGAAGGGAAGGGAAGGGAAGGGAAGGGAAGGGAAGGGAAGGGAAGGGGGAAAAGAAGGGAGCCAAATTCCCAACTGCAATAAATTCTATGTCAATTTACAAATGTATAAGAGGTTACAGAGCTGACCAAAATCCAAGCAAGGATATTTGTGTGTTCCCAGTCACCTGGATTTGTATGGTTCCAGGGACTAGGGAGCAACACCCCTCACTCATCTCCATTCACTGTCTACTTCCAGGCTTGAGCATTGTTGGAATTCTACTACTAGAACTTCATTCAAATTCCAATCCATTCTAATTATCCAAACATGAATTTGGTGTTTCTGAAATTACGACCATCATATTAGGAAAGGTTGCATTAGCCATTATCATGGGGCATTTACAAATGAGAGTGTTTGTTGTACTTTTTCCCCCCAAGAAACACTTTTGAAAGTGAGGAGCACAAAAGGAGTCTCCAAAAGAGAAGTGGAAAATTGCTATGGAAGGAAGAAAACTCAGCAGAAAGAAAAGCCAGGGCCCCAGGATGAGGGGGACACAATATGACTTCAGTTTTTCCCTGTAGTAATAATGTTCCTATGAAGGGAGAAAGCCATAATTCAGTGGCACCTAAATGATCAGGTCCCAAGGAGGAAGGCAGCTGAGACCCATAACACCCCTCATTGGTGGCAGACTTACCTAGAAATAATAAAGAACTAGATGTATCAGTGTGCAGAGATGCCTGTAGTCAAGTAAAACAAAAGGGGGTGCTCACAGGAATATTTAAGTCCGATTCTATTTTAGTTAAAACAAATCATCAGAAGCTCTATACATGTGGATGTCTGTCTACAAGGAGTAGGACATGGAAGGAGAGGGTAACAGGGCATTACAGAATTCATGACCTCAGGGCACTGGGAGTTGGTGGGGAGGGACTGATTAGCTTCACCTTTATGATCTTTGTATTATTAAAATATTATTCACTTTGCATTCTTCACAGGTCAAAATATGCTTCCTTTAGTTTGAAAAAAACTAATAGAAAATGAAGAAAGTTTAGAAAGGAACAATCTCTGTTCTTCCCATACTGTGAAAAAGCTTAATTATTACCCAGTCCTAACCCTGCATCTCCCCACACCTGCACCTGCTACATGACAAGGGAGCCAGCATAACCAAAGGCCTTGGTGACTGGTGACTGGTAGCCAATATCACCTTATCCCTCCTACCATCCAGGGAAAATACCTCCTTGGTTTGGGTGCTTTTCCCTTTCAAGGGCTGCTCTCATTTTGGTGCTCTGTGACCCTGGGTCACTCACGCTGTGTCAGGCTGGTCACTTTGCCAGTGTCCTTGGCATTCATCATCCATGTCCTGAGCCCTGATTGAAGACCCACCTCTACTGGTCAAGTGCTAGGTCAGAGCCAGTGAGGAAAGGCCAGGCTGGTTCCCTGTGTTCTCTCCATCTGGAGAGAGACATGAGACTCATGGCCCCTCTCTCTCCTCCAGGATGGCAGCTGGCTGGCTGCCTATGCATTCCCAGGCGCAGGGTGGGCACACCCAGGACCCTTCGGGCCAAATACACACTTATAAAGGATTCCTTGTTCTCCTGTTTCCATTCCCAGGCACTAAGCTCCTGGGGCACACCTACAAACCTTTCTACCCGGCGGGCACATTTATTTCTGCATGAGGCTTGATAGCCTGCAGGTCACGCACATCAAAAAGCAAATTCCATTTGCATTCATAGTCTGGAATTGTTGGTGGGAGCAGGTGAGAGGTAGAGGTCAGCCCTCTGCTGTGATAATAACAGCGTTTTTTCTCTAGGGGTACAGGGCGGAGTGTAGGAGGGAAGAATGACTGCTGGTTGCTTTCCTCTTCCCCTCTCTGCAATCGTTAAGAGGCAGCCATGACTTCTTCATGCATGGATTTTACCAATTCATGTCCTAAAGTGTCACTTCCAGACTTTGGTCAGCTTAAAGGTAGAAGGAGATTATCAACCCCGGGAGAGTCTGGAGGTAAATGTGTCCAAGTTTTGATTAACTGCAGTTAAGCATGTGCTTTGCAGGTTATCTGTGACCTATTTGAAATACTGCTCCACTTTTTTCTGCCCGGTGCCTCTGGGCAGCTTCTCCCACGGGGTGGTAAATGGGCTTAAAAACATAAACTAATTTTCATACAAGCCCAGGGGCAAAAACATGAGGGAAAGCTAAGATAGTCACATAATGTGTTCCTAAATCAAACGAAAATGCTTCAAGACCGTCAGTTCTATAGGTTGATTCAGGCTACTCTTACCTAGTCTTGGGAAGTTTCAGCAAGATTTGATTGTTTGCTTTCAGCACTATGTTGTGTTGTTTCATTTACTCCTCAGCGTAAACTCTGCAGTTAGCATTGGGTCTCTCAACGTGTGCTCTCTTTTTCTCTCTCCCCTCCCTCCTCTCCCCGCCCCACCCACAGGTGTACCATAGATGATAGGGTCACCCGGGTGGCCTGGCTAAACCGCAGCACCATCCTCTATGCTGGGAATGACAAGTGGTCCATAGACCCGCGTGTCATCATCCTGGTCAACACACCAACCCAGTACAGCATCATGATCCAGAACGTGGATGTGTATGACGAAGGCCCCTACACCTGCTCTGTGCAGACAGACAATCATCCCAAAACCTCCCGGGTCCACCTCATCGTGCAAGGTAAGATACTCCTGGACCAGGAGTTGGCCTTCCAGTCGGCAATGGGGGGGAAGAATAATCTGAGTCCTTGTTATACTCAAATGTGAAGGCACAAAGTCATCTTCCTCGGTTGGATCCCTAGGTGGAGTTGTGTCTTGGATCACTTCAATCTGATAGGTTCTTCACTAAGTACTCAAGATCTCAACATTTCTCAGTTCCATCACTGGTCCTTCCATTCTCAACAGTAGGTTGTTTGGAGGCCCTGGTCAAGTTCTTTTAAGTTACTTAGCATGTGGGAGCTGGGGCAAGGGATATTCAAATGCAGAAAAGTGCAGTTATTTGGGGATAAAAGGCCAATAATCTTGGTGGGAAAGAATGTAACTGGCCTACTTCTGCCTGGTTGTGGAGTTTGCTCTGAGTGCTGACCAGTCAGTCTGCCTGGTGTTGCTGTGTGTTGACTCACTCTCTCTTAGCCAAGAGGCAAGAGGAATGGAATCAGAAGGCTCTCTAGGTCAAGATTGGAAATTGAATCATATAATTTACAAAGTGTGTCTGTGTGGAGGCAGTGGAGATAGAAAACCTTAACATCTCCCATTATTTGACAAAAAAAAGATCAGCCCAATTCAAGCATAGTATCACATATGCATTTTTAAACAGTTTTTTTTAGAAAGCTTTTATTTAATAAATATAAATTTGATAGGTATGGCTTTAGGATTATAGCGTTTTTCCCTCCCATAACCACCCTCCCATCCCCACTCCTGTCCCACCTCATACTCCCTCTTCCATCCCATTCTTCATCGAGATTCATTTTTAATTATCTTTATATACAGAAGACCAACTCTGTACTAAGTAAAGATTTCAACAGTTTGCGCTCACACAGACATGCAAAGTATGAAGTACTGTTTGAAGATTAATTCTACCATTAATTCTCATAGTACAGCTCATTAAGGACAGAGGTCCTACATGGGGAGCAAGTGCACAGTGAATCCTGTTGTTGATTTAACAATTGACACTTATTTATGATGTCAGTAATCACCCTAGGCTCTTGTCATGAGCTGGCAAGGCTATGGAAGCCTTGAGTTCACCAACTCTGATATTATTTAGACAAGGCCATAGTCAAAATGGAAGCTCTATCCTCCCTTCAGAGAAAAGTACCTCCTTCTTTGATGGCCATCCTTTCCACCGGGATCTCACTCACAGAGATCCTTCATGTAGGCCATTTTTTGCCACAGTGTCTTGGCTTTCCACGCCTGAGATGCTCTCATGGGCTTTTTAGCCAGATCTGAATGCCTTAAGTTCTGATTCTGAGGCCAGAGTGCTGTTTAAACAGTTTTAAATTTAAATTTCACTTCATATCTTAGAAAAATGCAGCTGAAGAAATGTCAGAATCGCAGGTATAAGATATTAATTAGGAATTTAAAAGATGCAGATAGTAGTTCTGAGAAGCAAGACAGCAATCCAAATGTGCATATTTTGAACTGACCCCAGCAGACCCCAGATATTGGCTCATGGCAGGAATGAGGTTCTAAGCAGACAGCTTCTGTCACCCAATGGCACATGTTTCCTCCACCAAATAAGAGCCTCAGATGGACATTTCTCAGAGCTGTCTTAGCTGATTTTAGCTGTCAAGGGTCCCTGGGCAAGACCCAGTCTTTAGCTGCTGCCTTTTATCCGATCCCTTCTGCTATTTTCACTCTGGACAATGTACATGGTATCCTTGCTTGGCTAAGATAGATGTCTTCATGTCTGCTTTCTACAAAATAGGATGCTACCCATTCATTGCAGCTGGTTTAATGGAAAGAGGTTGTTAGGGGTTCATGTGAGCCTGTGCGTCTGTCACTGGTACAATTCGAGATACCCATTCTTTCCTTCTGGCCAGGGCAGCCCTTTGTTAGCACAGCAGCCTCTGTAGGTCATTTGTAGATTTCAAAAAAAAAATAGTTATTTTAGTTATATTTAACTCATTATTGGAGAGGCAGAGACACACACACAGAAAGAGAGAGAGAGAGAGAGAGAGATGAAACTCCCATGTACTGGATTGTTCCCCAGCTGTCCAGCAACACTGAGTGGTGCAGGGTTGGAGCTGAAGCTCACAGCATCCAGGTCTACCTTGTGGTTGGCAGGAACCCAATTGCTTGAGCCATCACCTGTTGCCTCCCAGTGTGTGCAGTAGCAACAAGCTGGAGTCAGAAGACAGAGGTGTGTCTCAGACCCAGGCTTTGCTATGTGCCTGCTATCCCTTTTCTTTCTCTCTGCGTTTTCTTTTTCTCTCCCTCCGACAGGTAGAGTTAGACAGTGAGAGAGAGAGGCAGAGAGAAAGGTCTTCCTTCTGTTGGTTCACCCCCCAAATGGCCACTAAAGCTGGCGCGCTGCACCAATCCAAAGCCAGGAGCCAGGTGCTTCTCCTGGTCTCCCATGGGGTGCAGGGCCCAAGGACTTGGGCCACCCTCCACTGCACTCCCGGGCCACAGCAGAGAGCTGGACTGGAAGAGGAGCAACCGGGACAGAACCGGCGCCCCAACCGGGACTAGAACCCGGGGTGCCGGTGCCACAGACAGAGGATTAGCCTAGTGAGCCATGGTGCCAACCTCCTGTGGGTCTTTATAACAGCTAGTGCAGGGCCGCAGAGCTGTCTGTGGCAACTTCTGTTACACAGCAGCCCCAGAGCTGCCATATTTCTAGAAGCTTTGCTCCCATCAAGCCTCCAGCCCTTCTTTCACTGCCGTGAGCTCTCAGATTCCCCCGGAGCTGCCATAGGACGGAAGTGTAGAAAGCCTGCTGTTTTTCATTGCCTGCATGTGCCCACCCAGGGGTTTGGGCGAGTGATGCTTACAGCTTTGGAGCCACATGACAGCCTGCAGCTGGGCATAGAGACAACCGTCACATCAGCTGCCTCTCCTGAGAGGATGGGGGACGCACTGGAGAGATCAGTCATCAGAGACAGGCTGGGGGTGTAGACAACAAGGGAGTGTGGGCTCCCCACCCTACCTGACACCTGGGCTTGCTCCCGAGGTGCTCACGTTCTCAGCAGGGGAAGTGACGCCTCATGGGCACCTCCACGGCCTTGACTGCAGAACGTCTTCAAATTCCGGAACTGTAGCGCTGAAATAAAAGCTGTCAGGCATTGTAGAGAAACACGCTTGGCGGAGTCAGGCTGTCGCTTTGCAGGAAATAAAGTGTGAGCCTAGCAACATCAATGCCGGCTATGAAGGGCTTGTGGAGCTGAGCTTCAGAGGATGGTGGTCCCCATAGGTGCTTGGAGTAATCTGAGTGGGATGCAGGGATCTCTCTGTGGGCACCCCAGCTTCAGGTCAGAACCTAAGGATGGGGAGGGGGCAGGGCCACCACATTTCCTGTTCTAGAGGTAGCTCCTCGCAGTCTCCCCAAACAATGGGGATGGGTGGATGGGGGATAAGGGAACCCCCCAACTTGGCCGGTGGGTCTCTGCTTTCACTGAGGGGCTACAGAGAAGAGGCAGGACTGCACCCCCTTCTGCCTTGTTCGTTCTTAGGAAACCAGTTGACTTACCACACTGTGGCTGCAGAGACCCTGCCACCCAATTAGAAAGAAGCCCATGAGTCCTCTCTCACTCGCAGCTATCGGCTTTTGTCCAGTCTATGGATTAATTTTTCAGGCTTAGTGTTAGTTCAGGTTAGATAAAGATAATGAAAGTTTCCTAATCCTCTTAAAGAAGATTTATCTGACTGAGTAGAAAGCTTTTGGAATACAATAAGGCATGTATAAAACTGAGGCCTAATCTTGCCTTTAATTTCAAACTGCTGATGGATATTGATTTTGTAATGAGAAAAACTGAAAAATTTCCGAGCTGCAACTTGTCTGTTTTTTTTTTTTTAAACCACACATACAATGTTTATTAACCTTCTGTCCATTTGAGAAGGTTAATGTCTCATTATTTCTGCCTATATGTGCCATCAGCAGGAAGGACAGTAGTCTTGGGGGCTTCTGCCTTTGTTGTCCCTCCCACAATAGGAGGACCGGAGAGAAGCTCCGTCAGCAACACTTACTGCTCTGTAAGGGGTCTTCTGCTGCACATATGATGGAATTAAGGGCCAAGGTGTTCTCTTCGGAAGAAGATGCTGCCTTCTTCAAAATACTGACACTGTTACCTGGGGTCCATCGAGCCACCACGGAGGCGATCATTTCAGACACTGTATTAGCTTGCTTGATAATGCCGTCTACGCTGCATCCCCAGGTGTTCAGGAAATCCAAGGAAGGAAGAAGGAGGGGCGGATTAGTCAGGGAAGGAAAATCGATCTGGCAGGCCTGTAAGGGTTGAGATGTAGAGAACAGTAGCTTCAGGCTCGACAGGCAATAGGTTGGTCCCATCGCCCAAGCAGTGTGAAGAGACAGAGCTGTGAGCCTACCTGCAGAAACAGAGCCTAAGAGATACTGTTCCAGAGAAATTGAGAGCATTGATCCTAATCTAATGTCTTGAAAGGTGAAGAATTAAAATGACATCACCTGGGGTTTTTTAAAGATTTTTATTTATTTATTTGAGAGGTAGAGCTATAGACAAGAGAGAAAGAGAGAGAGAAAGAGAGAGAGAAAGAGAGAGAGAGAGAGAGAGAGAGAGAGAGAGGTCTTTTATCTGTTGGTTCACTCCCCAAATGGCCACAATTGCCAGAACTAAGCCAATCCAAAGTCAGGAGACAGGAGCTTCTTCCAGGTCTCACATGCGGGTGCAGGGGACCAAGCACTTGGGCCATCTTCTACTGCTTTCCCAGGCCATAGCAGAGAGCTGGATTGGAATTGGAGCAGCCGGGACTCAAACCACCGCACATCTTGATGCTGGCACTACAGGCATAGCTTAGACTACTGTGCCACTGTGCCAGCCCCTCCCCCTGCATTTTTGAGTTAGTGAAAATGTTGGTGACCTCAGTAGTAAATGGGGAGGGAGGATCCTGTGTTATACACAAACAACAGTTTAAAACTTCCAAAGGGCCCAGTGCTGTGGCATGGTGGGTAGAGCCTCCGCCTGCAGTGCCAGCCTCCCATATGGG